TTGGATTGGGGTGTCCCTGTGTGGGGTGGAGCCATTGCTGCTGTCCCTGGCCGCGTGCCCTTGGTGCTGACAGATCAAACATGCCGACCCCAAACGTGGGGATCTGTCGTGCTGACAGAACCAACTGTGAAATCTCACGTTTTCTTTGAAGATAAGGGCAGAACTGCAGCAGGTGCTTTTCACTTCATTCAGGTGTTTTACGTGGGTCACCCCATGAGCCCCGTGATGCCAAATGCTGTTTGCCAGTGCCTCGAGGGCCAAAGTCCCCGCCCTCACCAAAACAGCCTCAATTGGTAATTCAAGGGGTAAAAAACGACACAGTTTTGGCCAAAACTCCAGGGATTCTTCCAAAGCATATCGCTGCTTCATTGTGCCCCAAACTCAGGCCGCGGGGAGCCCGAGCCCCGGCCCTGCCCCAGCGCTGCCCGTGCTGGGGGCTCGGGGAGGGGCTGAAGGTCGTGCCCGGCTTGTGCCTCCATTTCCCCAGGCCGGGGCCGCTGCGGCTCCGCTCAGTGCTGGATCAACCTCTGGGAACCATCGCACCAAGCGAGGCCGTGCAGAGCAGCAGCCGAGGCGGGACAGGCTCTGGGACACGGGAGCAGGAGGTGCCAGCGCAGGGCAGCATCTCCCTGGGCCGCAGAGCCGAGGGACGCTCGGGGTGTGCCCGGGGTGCCTCGGCCTTGGCCTCGGCGCCGTGTGTGCTTTGGCACAGGGGCCAAGGCCGCTGGCCGGGGCCGGGACACCTGGGTCCCTTCCCGCGCCTCCTCCCGCGGCCCCGTTAAAGCGCCCGCGGGGCAGCGCCTCGCTCCCACCGCGGACCCCGCGCTCCAGGATGATGATGATGCTGCAGCTCGTGCTCCTCGCCGCGCTCGCCCTGTGCGGTGAGTCCCGCCCGGAGCCTTCGGCCTCCCTCGGCACCTCCTGACACGCCCCCCCCCCCGCACCCCCCGGTGGGGACTGACGCCGGCCCTCTGTCCCCAGGGCGCTGCTCCGAGCTGGATGTCGATGGCGTGCAGCGGGTGGTCGGCGGCACCGAGGCGCGCTCGCACGCCTGGCCCTACCAGGTGGGTCCTGCCGGCTCCCACGGCCGCTCCCGGGGCTCTGCTGGAGCCGGGACCCCGCGCTCAGCCCCGCCCGTGTCTCGCCCCCTCCCCAGATCTCCCTGCAGTATTACTCCCAGGGCGGCTGGTACCACACGTGCGGAGGCTCCCTCATCCAGAGGAACTGGGTGATGACTGCCGCCCACTGCGTCAACAAGTGAGCACGGCGGGGACCCCTCCTCCTCTCGGCAGAGCTCCTTTCCCCCAAAACCCTTTCCAAGCAGAAATTCGGGCTGCCCCGACACGCCGAGCAGCCGCCCTTGGAGGGCGTTCGGGCTCCTCAGGCAGGGGCTCCGTGCGGCTTCTCTGGGAGCATCCTCTCCCCGCTCTGACCCGCCCGGATCAGCGGCGCTCGCTCGGAGTGAGAGGAGTTTGGGGCTGACCGAGTGTTTTTGCACCTTGCCGCCAGTAACCTGAACTACCGTGTGGTGGCCGGCGAGCACAACCTCAACAGCAACGAGGGCAGCGAGCAGATCTTCAGCGTCAGCAAAATCATCGTCCATCCCTACTGGAACAGCAACAACGTGGCCGCGGGGTAACGCCCGCGGGACGGGCACTCGGGGGGAGCCCAGCCGGCATTTGGGGG